AAGAAAACCTCTTTTGAACCCATGTTGTCATCGAATGCCACAAATCTAGCGCAGATTTTGTGTACCATTACATTACATAGATTAAATTTTATTACGTCGAGAAATACATTACAAGAAAAATACAGACAATGTATCCCGTCAGAGTTTACGAGGCAGTTTGACCACTTTTCGCTAACTCCTCCCTAAAAACAATGGGATAAAAAGGAGCGATAAGCAAGGAATCAACTGACTAGAACAGGACAAACAACTTACTTGAGCTGCTTGGAAAAATCACTTTCATGAGTTTCATCATCCCAATTATCCTCCCATACATTTACTTCATCATCATCTCCGTCAGCAGCCTTCTCTGCCCATTCCTATGAAACTAATAATCAACATCAGATCTCACAATAGCGAAAGGTAAAACCATACTTGAACTGGGAACTCTTCAAATTCCTCATCGTCTATTGCTTTCTTTACCTGAATATGTTTAGGTATTTACAGTCAGAAACCACCTACCACCAAAAAACGTTTAAAGCACGCCGCGCGTTCACTTGATTTTTCTTCTTTGGACCTGTTAGTCTTGCCTGCAGCATGTACTACATTTGCAGCTCAAAAATACGTGAGGAAAGCTCAGCCCACTCACGACGGAGCCACGCTCCCGCCCATTGGCCATGGCAGCGCCCAACATTCATTTTTAATTGCTAGCTGATGGTGAGGTTCTTCCGTAACTCTGTCCTTTCGAATGGTGAGAGTGAGGTGATGAGGAAAGCCGGCACCAAGTAATGAGAACTCGTCCGACCACGCCCTTTCTTCGCCCTATACACGTACAGACGCGGCTCAGTGTGAGATTCTACACAGAGCATCTCGCGCGCGTTTTTTAAGACTTTTTCTCCTCAATCTTGGGTTATTTACCATCTTGTCGTTCACTTGAGCCGTACAGATCGCCATTTTTGAACGCGGGCGTGCGTTTGAAAATGAAACTTCTCACTTACCTTCTCCTTAGCGGTTTCCTTCTTGGTGATGGTAATGGCGGAAGACATAATCTACAAATACTATCGATTAACCCTGACGAGGGAATTAAAATAGCAAAGCAAACAAAAACAATATTTCAATGTATCTGAAGGCTTGTACCACAGTAATGTATAGTTTGAAGACCACTGAAATCAATATATCTTTATGAACGAAAACAGTTTCCAAAGCCTACGAATAACTTTAGAATTCAACAACTTGACAACCTATACAAATTCCTGAATCACTATCCTAACATATGTTAAGCTACTAAAAATCTACTAATTTCTGCATATGTACAGAACAAGGAGAATTAAAGGCACAATATTCAGCACTACAGGTCGACACTAGCGAATCGCCAGCAGGATCACGTTTCTTCGCTGGTCTTCCCTTCTTTTTCGTCCTTTTTGCGCTGTTCTTCGAGCTCTTGGGCACGTAGTGGAAGACTCGACGGTTGTAAAGGTCGTTCACTTCCACTTCCGTCAGCTGAACAGAAAATCATCAGAGATATTGAAACCCTTCTTGTAAAAGAAGAAAACTGAGATGTTCTCGAACAACTGTACCAGATTCACATGGAAAATGCGCAGTCATTACGCACCTACAAATCATTTTAAGGTTTTGGGAGTTTGAGGGTTTTGGGTTTTCTGGTTTTAAGTTCTTGACGGGGTGACTAAGCATGTACAGGCAATCTTGTGAAGACTGTAAATTCCCTGTGGCTTAATGCGCACCATTTCGACAGCTTCATGCCATTACCCAACGTGGACTTGCTATTTGAACGTGAGGAGGACGAGAAAGTGCCCCTCCAAGCCCGAAGGGCCGTAACTTATGTTAAAAGAACAACTGGGTGATGAATAACTTAGGAAAGCATGGTACTAGTAGCTTCTGCAGAACCAGTGAGTATGGTCTACTGTACGCTGTGAAAAGGTCGCCCGGCAAATAAAACTCATTGCTTCAACAGGGACTCCATCTTTAGGATTCGTGGCTTACAATTATGATGGATTCTTCTCAAGTGGGTAATTGGAGCTCAAACAAAGTTTAAGTAAAAGTTCATTCAATACTGAAAGGGCTGTTTAGGAGTTGCTGATCGCGTCCACTGAGAAGAAATGGCCAGAGGGAGAAGCAAGCCATACAAGGAACAGGGAGCTCCGTTTACGGAAGAGCCCTGCCGTTAGGGAAAACTTTGCTAAACCACTCTTCCTGTCAAAAATTTCTCTTCTGGTACGACATTCCCACGCCCCTATATCCCATCCCACCTATCACCTCCTGCTATGTCAATAGAAAAAATGAAAGTAGAACTACTTCTAACTTTGCCAGGAACTCTCGAAAAACAGCTCGGTGTAGAACAGGAATTTCAGCAGAATGGCCCTCCAACCGTGAACTATCGCACAACGAAAATAAATGAGGGTAACACCTACTCTCAATTACCAAAAAGCAAAACAACGAAATAAATTCTTTCAATAGGAAAAAAAAACTGAAGAAATTGCGTTCAATTAGAACTCACCAATAGCATGTGTGATCAGTGGACCTTGTTTTGGTTGCACCCATCTCGGATAAACCTTATCATGCAGGCGCCACATACCATCCACGACTGCAATGTGATTTTCGAACACTACATATTCCACTACTTCCCGTGGTTCCGTTTCTGATCCAAGTAACAAATGTCCAAAACGATCGTATACGGCCAACCTCTGAAACAAGATTAGAGACAATACCAACAACAAAAGCTGAACTTTTTTCTGCAATAAAATACTACGTTTCACAACAAAGAAGAAAAAAAAATGAAAAAATCTCCGTATATATAGCTGAAGTCATGGTACGACGCTTACCTGTTTGGTGTGGCCATTCGCACCGTCAATTGAGCTATGTCGTTCCCTGACTTGTATGGATTATCTCCACAACGAACGGAAACTACCTGAAAGATTATCAAATCACAGCGGAATATCACCAGTACTTCTAGTCTTTTGAAGGACGAAAAGTTTTAAACGCATATTACGCAAAAAAAGACAAGGGATTAGCCATATTCAGTTAGGCTCCAAGTTTGAGTACCCCTCTTGTTAATGGTGGGTATGTGACAAGAGAATCGTAATTCGCCGCGCTAGTGGGCGTCGCGTGCGACGTCGCGCCCGCAAATGACGATGGTTCCAGGTAGTAGATGGCGACAACAGGCAATTCAGAACCGAAAATAGATGAATGTCTACGATGACGGGGTCTACATGAAGTCCGGTGCTCCAATCGACAGGTTAACACGAGTTAAGAAAACGCCGCGCGCGGCGGAGCGGCAAATTACGATTCTCTTGCCCGTCTCCCGTTAATGGTAGAGTAGCAAAGGATCGGTACGAGACGATGCATCCACGATGGCGATGAAAGATGCGTTGCAAGCGGTGTCACAAAAGCGACATTTGCACCAGGAACCGATTGATACAGTGCGAAAGCGCTGCAATTTTTCGAGCTGACAAGCAACGGTAGCTAGTTTCTGCATGTCGCTGCAACCTGAATGTATGTTCACCCGGTTCCCCCACCCCCCATAGATTTTCTACAGGGTATATTACACTTACAGGGTGTAATGAAAAATTCGAGCCTCCACAATAACGGATTTATTTGAGATCTTCTCAGCAAAGTGTTGAATATATGAATGCTATCACAAGAATGCTAAGTCATTGGCAAGTTTCGACTCAAGACGGGACCTGAACCCACACTTCACTTTCGCAGGGTGAGTGCGCATGCGCTACGCCATCAGGGCCGCCTCTTACCCTATCAGCTTTTCATCACATCATCACGTTAAAGTGAGTGCTATGGCACAAAAGTCACCGAGCTGAGAAAGATAAAAGCGGACCTGGTGGCGTACCGGACAGCGCACTCGTCCGGTTAGGGTGAGGTGCGGGCTCGAGTCTCGCCTGGGGTCAAGACTTCGCCCAGAATTCGGTATTCTTGTGACGATTTTCGGAGCACAGACCGCGAAGTTGAACAGCAGTTATCACAATTCAACAAAATGAAGACATGAAAGACAGCAGGGGGTAACATTTTCCAAAAAGCACCCCACCCCCAAAAAAGTCCTCCAGAAGGGGTGAAGGTCCGGTCTGGATCAACTATAGAGCAGCAAAATTACGAAGATGCTGACTAGAGGGATATACAACACGAATAAAAGAACGAAAATGAACAATTAAAAAATTCTAACAACCGAGAACCCTCCTTCCAGTGACAAAATACGACCCCTTTCAACCGCGTTGGGAATTGAACTAGGGGAACGGTCTGCACGGCTCATTAATTTCATATCGTTAACATAGAGAGAAATAGGGGTTGAGTGCTTGGAACTCAGAAGCATCGATGGTCGTTTAAAAAGAGGAAAACCTTAACAAAGAACAAAATCTCACCCTGCTTGGCTCCAGTCGCTCTACAAGTTCCCACTGAATGGAGCCATTCTCTACATCAGGCCACATTTTCTATGAAACAGCGAAAATCAAGTCAAGGCCTTTTAAAATATTGGCTAATAACTCTACTTACTCTGAAAGCATGCTCAGTGATACATTTATGTAATGCGGGCTTGTCCCTCTTCATAAGAGCTTGATGTGCTTCTTCATAAATGAGATCGGCAGTTGGGCCAAAAGTCTGCAAATATACCATCCTCAAAAATTCACCAGTAAAAAAGAGAGGGAGAGCACAAGATTACAAAACACAACAGAAAAATCTGCACAAACCTTGGGGTCGAATTTTTCAAAACCTTCCTTCTTCCTTATTCTACTCGTGCCGTTTCGCCAATTATGGTATCTGTGCAGAGCTCGTTGCTAAAATGCAATGGCATGTCTCGTTAGTAGACACAATATCAACATGAAAACAAGGTAGCACGCTTTTGAAGTTACGCAAGGGGGGGGGGCAGGGGGAGCATTCCCTAACCAAGACACGGGCTAAGTATTAAAGCTGTCGTTCGCACTCATTCTCACAGAGCAGGCAGTCGTGCTGCTGCCTTTAGGACACCCGTTGTGAGAAACACAACGAATTTCCCTCGGAAAAAATCCTGAAGGTTGATTTTTTCCGTGTGCAGCCCTCAACGCTGGCAGAATCTCAGTAGCAATTCATACTTTGGTGCATGGGGGAGGGGGATCGTGAGAGAGTTTACACGCGCTGCTCGAAAATCTTCCGTTTGTGAGATTTTCCCCGGTTCACATGCGGTAAACTTCACCCCCCCCCCCCGCTTGACGCCTCTTCTTGGGTAAAAACTGGGGGTGGGTTGGGATACCACTAATTCACCGCCATGTAACCATAGTGATGCTCTTCATCCTCCCCTTCCGTACTCAACGGTAAAATTTTGGAAAAGAAAACATTCTGAAGAAGGGAGGGGGGGGGTCGTAGAGAAGGAGCAAATTCGAAGACGACGTATTCATCCAGAATTTCACACAAGAAGATGCTGTGACATGGCTGCAGCCCAGCTCTCCAAGCCCATTAGTGCTCAAAGTAACAACCGAAGGAATAATAGCTTCAGCAGAAAGTGAAAACTACTGAAATTACCTTCAACTCGTCTCCTTTCAGCTTTAAGCCATCAACGCTAGTTGTTAAGAATGGCAATGTTTCTTCAGGAGTGACGAACGGATCGATTACAGCATCTGAATATGGACCATAGTGGGGAAAGACGGTTTGAACAAGCAAGTATAGGACGAATAACTAACAGAAGGACTGCATTGTGGTTTGCGATTCTTGCCATGCACGTGGTTGAACTTCTTTGTAGGGATTGATGCCCTTTCGGAGAAGCTCCACTCGTAATTCAGATGGAGTCAAGGATTCATGACGACGCCGCTCTTCGTCATCGGGAAGTTCTATCATGACTGTTTTCCGTCCACGCAACTAAAAACACACATTTTTTTTTCGGGAAACAAACTGATATAAAAGTTTAGTTTTTAGTAGAAGCGACATTTACAAGTTTCCGAGAACGCCACTCATCTAGCGCGAAAACACCTCGTGCTAGCACAAAAAATGCCGCTTCTGATGGTTAGATTCGCTGTAAACATTCTTCTGAGAGACATTTCAGCGCCGGCGCTTCTAGGATGGGCGCTAGTTTTCGAGCCAATCAGGAGCGATTTCAAGGGTTTCAAATCAGACCCTTGACGATTTTCTAATACATAATTGATTGTCATTCTTATTTCAATACTTAGATAAATTTCGAAGAACAAGTGCTTCAAATTTCGAAAATGGGATCTCAAAGGCGCACCCCAGCAGGGTGGTAATTAACATAGCAGTGGGAAAAAAATCAGCAGGAGATGCCCCATAAGAGGCCCAATATTTAAATCATTTCTAGCGTAAGCATGGAAGAAAAACAGGTCGCAGTCGGACAAGCTTTCACTTGCTGGGATCAGCTTTTTCCTCTTATTACATCCTCGTATCATTCGAAAGTGAGAGCTAGCATTGGAACCACCACACCACCACCACAGCTGACATCCTGATCACGAATATGGCTTTTTTTGACTCTGCTGTCATTTGACGCGTTTGACGCGCCACTAGAAGCCAATTGGCGGCACACCCCTTCCAAAATTGATAAAAACTAGCGGTAACTAGTGCTGTTTTGATGGCCACTGATCAGGAATAGACATTCTGTTTTCCTTGAACACCAGCGCCATGTACGCTTTGTTAAGGGTGAACCTGGGAGAGGAAGTGATTTCCGCTTGAGGCACCAGCTCAGCCTTCAGGCAGGAGCGCAGAGATAACGGATACCTGGTGCTACGTCAGCGCAGGAGCCAAGAATAAAACAGTCATAGTCGTGATCAGCGATGCTCACTTACCCGTATCCGTATACTTGGCCTTTCATGCGATAAATTGGATTCCAAGGTGTTAGACGCAGGCGCTAGTGCGGGCGATCGCCAGGCGTTTGGGCAATGAGGCGATGTGATTTCACTGTTCAGAAGGGCGAACTACCCCTAGGGACAACTTTTCAGCCAATTTTGTTATTTAGAGTATTGTGGCGCCGGCCTGTGGCGCGGGCGCCAGGCAGTTTCGGGCTAAGCGAACGTGGTAGTCGCGTTCAGGAGGTCAAACTACCCCTTGTGAGCAGATTTCCAGACAAATTTGCCCTTCGTAAACAAAGTCCGTAAAAAGTAAACGGCACGGCCTGATTCCGGAGACTGGGCTAAAATGGTTCAAGTAGTGCTTCAATATTTATTAAATGTTTGGAAGCGGATAAAAGGAGGAATAAAAGTTGTAGGATAAAAATAACATTTCTCATAACACACCTTTCTGAACATCTTCTCATTGACGTGTGTGTTTCGATTAGCTCGTGCCTTATTAGATCGCTTAATCCCTAGGAATCTAGCCAGATCCTGCCTTTCCATGTGATGATGAACAGAGGCTCTTTGAACGACGAACGGGGCACTGGCCACCAAAGCAGGTAGCCCAGAACATGCGCCAGGCCATATTCGGCTAATCATCCCTGAAAATCAGAATGTCTTGATGAATGTAGAAAACTAACATTCAGGGACACTCAACAAATGAAAAGTTAGCAACAGAAAAATATCAGGGCTTGGCTACTCAGAATGAAATCAAAAGGTTGACAAAAAGAGTTACGGCGGCATATGGCGAGAAGAATGGTGTGGATAAATTGGCCCGTCTATTCAGGACAGAAATTGTGCGTCTCAGGATACTTGTCAACCACGAAGCCTCCTTCTTTTTCTTCCTCCTTCATTCCTTTCCTCCCTTTCTTCCCTCTTCCCACTTGTTTTTCTTCCTCTTCGAATGCTCGACCAATAGATGCAGAAGGAAATGAGTCTGGACCCTCCCAGCGAGAGAATGCTTAGTTGACAGAAGCCATGTCATCAAAATGCTGGCGCAATTCGGCTTTGGAGGGAGAGGGGAAAGAGAGGTATTTTGCCCTTCAATACTTCCCAGCATTGTGAAGAATTGTGGTAAAGCCATCAAGTGATACCAGTCAAAGTTTGGAGGGTACTTGCCAACTTTCGAAAAGCAAGGAACATGGCGATGGGAAAGTAGCGAGAGTTCTCCAGCTTCTCTTTTCTTGCAGCCTCGGCATTTCAGATGTAAGTTCTCAGGTGCTAACGTAGTTGGGAGGGGCCACGCGGCTCGCGGCGAGTGATGACTCATCGGCTCTTCACTCACTGACATACTTGGAGCGTTAATCTAGCAGCAAAATTAGAATAAAACAAACAAGATTCACCGGAACTTGCTGAGAAATCCCACAGAAGCTGAAAACAACAAATGTTTGATCTTTTATAGTCAAGAATCAACAAAAAGGCAACAATCGTTTGTTGTTTCTTGGCACTTTTTAGCCCTAACTGTTTTAGCTTTCCAAATATAGCTAAGGACGGTATTTCCATGTCCTAAACATGAAATTACTTCTTTTTGCCGAGGAGAAAGCAGAAGAGTCGATGAGTCATCACTCGCCGCGAGCCGCGTGGCCCCTCCCAACTACGTTAGCACCGTTTCACTTGTTTTAGGATTGCTCTACCCCACCAAGCGCCTCGTCAACTCTAGCGGTTCCGACATCGTGTCAGGAACCCCTCGAGAAGACCCCAATAATGCGAAAGCCAACCCACCGACGGTTCCACCTTATTAGGGACAGTGTCCGCTGCCACACAAGAGCGACAGTTAGTTGTAAATGAAGAATACCGCGCGT